ATTCTGTGCTGGGGGTTCTTTGTGTCCTTCTGTGTCCCAGGGCTGGCTGAGGAGGGAAAAATCCCAGAATTCCAGCCAGGATTGAGGTGGGAATCAGAGCCAGGAGATTCCAGGATTGATCACAGCCATGCCCAGGATTCCTGGTGTTTATCCAGGATTATCCAGGATTCCAAGGCATTGCCTTGGGGGAGCAGCACTGAGGGCAGGCAGAGTTTTAATTCTGATTTTCCTGCCTTCTAACACAGCTTTGCTTTCCCTTTCCAGCTCCTTGTGGGCTTTAAAAGCAGGAATTTAAAAAAAAAAATAATAAAAAAAAAAAAAAACAGAAATAAAAAAAACTCCTCCAGGAAAACACATCAAGCATCCAGTATTTCCCCCAGGGACTGAAGCAGCTCCCTCAGAGCTCTGCTGTCCCTTAGGGAAAAGCTGTAATTAGCCCAAAACCAACCAAAATTCAACTTCAGCAGCTCCCAGTGCAGGAGGATGGGGGGGAGAGAGGTGGAATTAAAAAAAGGAGGGAAGGGAAATGTTGCTGCTGAGAGCCCACAGTGGCCACTCTGGGCCAACAATGTAATTAAAAATGAGTTCTTTGTAGCAAAAATGGAAGTTAAAAAGTGGATACATGGAAGAGAATGTTCCATCTCCAGAGGAAGAGTGCCCAGCTTTATTTGTTACATTGGAGGCTCTGACAGGCAATTATCAAACCCAGGGCTGGCCCCACACGCTGCTTCATTTATTGAGACACATTAGCAAAGAAATTTGATTTGCCCTCTCAATTTGCCAGAGAAAACTCCCCAGTGCTCAGCCTGTGTTATCAGCCAGGGTTCAGGAGCTGGGATTGAGCCTTCAAATCCAGCCCTGGCAGGGAAATCTCAGTGAGATCCTGAAACCAATCATCAATCAATCAATCAATCAATCAATCCATAGAGATGGAGCCGATCCCAGGGCAAAGATCCCACAAAATTCCAGGTACAAACCTGAAGTGGAGGAGCAGAACTTGAGGATTCCCACCCCCCTGAGGTGTTCCCTGCTGGAATTCCATGATTTTATCCCAGTATGCCCTGGAGAGGCTGAAGGTGATGTGTGAGGATGCCCTGGGCAGTACCCAGGGATAATTCCAGGGGTAATTCCAGGGGTAATTCCAGGGATAATTCCAGGGGTAATTCCATGGTTTTGTCCCAGTATGCCCTGGAGAGGCTGAAGGTGATGTGTGAGGATGCTCTCTGCAGTAACCTGTCCGTGGAGAATGCAGCTGAGATCCTGATCCTGGCTGACCTGCACAGCGCAGACCAGCTCAAAACCCAGGCTGTGGACTTCATTAATTAGTGAGTAATTACTCCAGGATGGACAAACCTTTCTCTTTTCCCTTCCATTTTCCCTTTTCCCCCCTTTTTCCCTTCCCTTTTCCCATTTCTCTTTCCCTGCTCACTCCAAACCAACCAAGTCCAGGTTCCTTCCCATCCCAAGATCCCAGATTTGTTAATTGTTAAATTGTTAAATTGTTAAATGCTCCCACTCCGTGCTGGCCCCAGCAGGGAAGGTTCTGCTCTGTCATTTTTGAGTTCCCTCCCTGTGATCCATGGTTTATCCAGCATTCCAAACCCAGCTCAGCCTCGTTCCCCTGGGGTTCTCCAGCCTGGGAGCTGCTCTGGAGCTTCCTGGGATCCCCAGAAGCTGCAGGCAGGGCAGGATCAGGGAATTCTGATCCTGGAATCATCCTGGGATAGCAGGAGCTGGGGAGCTGGATGAGCTTTAAGGTCCTTCCAGCCCAAAGCATTCCATGATTTGATGCTGAGGGATTGATTGCAGCTCTCCATCCAGCAGCAGATGGAAAATCCCAGCCAAGCTTTAATAAATAAATGGAACATTTCTGTCACTGGGTGCAGCTCCTCCCGTGCTTTTTATATCGATTGAAACCATCCCTGTGCTGGGAGCTGGGATCAGTTCCCTGCGCTGCCATCCCACCTGGAATGTTCTGGGAGCTGGGATCAGTTCCCTGCGCTGCCATCCCACCTGGAATGTTCTGGGAGCTGGGATCAGTTCCCTGCTCTGCCATCCCACCTGGAATGTTCTGGGAGCTGGGATCAGTTCCCTGTGCTGCCATCCCACCTGGAATGTTCTGGGAGCTGGGATCAGTTCCCTGCTCTGCCATCCCACCTGGAATGTGCTGCAGCTTCTCCTGAAACGGGGCCAGACCCCTCAGAGAGAGCCCAGCAGGAGAAACCCCGAGTTCCTCAGGGCCCTGGCAAGAGCCTGCATGGCTGCTCCTGTTATCCCAGTCCCTGATCCCAGTTTGCTCCTGTTATCCCAGTCCCTGATCCCAGTTTGCTCCTGTTATCCCAGTCCCTGATCCCAGTTTGCTCCTG